CCAGCACGCGGCCCATCCTTGCTCCACTCCACGCACACCTACCAACTCGCGTAAAAAAAAAATATCATTGCCGCGAGGACTCGAACCCGCACCACTCCTACGCCAGACAAGCAACATTACCAGCAGGCTACATACGCGCTTTGTGATTCATTTGCGCAACACTCTTATTTTAATAACTCTTCGCGCCGTTTCGCCACCATAAAGCTAAGTACTCTATCCCTCTATAATTAATAAATATTGAAATATTTTACTGAGCGTTAATGGCGCTGATGGGGGGAAAGATGTACCCAACAACGTGGGAGATGAGAAACTCACCAAGTTCCCGACGCCTTGAAGACTCCAAACTGAGGGTTAAAAACCCCGAAAAGGAGAACTCCAAACTGAGGGTTAAAAACCCCCGAGGAGGAGAGCTCCATGAAGAATCTACAATGGGTGAAGGCTACACGCCTTAATGAAATACACCAACGGGGGTGCAGGACGCAAGAAGCTGGCACCGCGTCAACCAAACGCGCCACCAGCTGGGGGGCAACTGGGGTACAAAGGGCTCCATCCAAAATTACCGACAAAGATTTAAAAAAAATAAATAAATAATAATAAGCTAGCGATGAGTTAAGACTCACCACCAGCTTGGGGGGCAATTGTTGGGGGTGTTACTAAATACTCCGTTCACATACTAAGTACGGGGCGGACAATCGGCGATGCGCGACGCGCGATACGCGCTACAGGTATATAAGGGCTTGAATTCCCCCCAAAGGAGGGGACTTCTTCTCTCTCCTCACTTTCTACTTTCCACTATCTCCCTCCACTTCATCTCTCCACCTTATTCTCTCAACTCTCATCTTAAGCATAAACTAACTTGATCGTCGGAGCTTAATTCGGGGGGCATCCCCGGTCCTTTCATAGGTTTCTTCCCTCCCGACGAGATCAGACGAACGGATCGTGAGTCAACCCCACACCGACAAATATCATTGTTGATACCAGAGCTAGATGGTACAAACATATAGCTTACATATAATGTGTTTGGGTATGTATCTCATCTACAATTTATAAGAGAAAGATATGAGAAGGTAAATTTATATTTAAGTTTAATTAGGATTTAGGTTAGGGTTGAGAAGAATGTGTATTAAAGGTTTGATGTCAGCTCAATGTTTGTAAGATCAGTTTTAACCTTGTGATTATATCTCTGTTTGAAATCCTAGAACTTGATCTCCGGAACATTTAAATGTTCAATTATACTTGTAACAATGTGTTAAACCAAGAAGCATCTTTCGTCCAATGCTATGGAGAACATTTAAATGTTCAATTATACTTGTAACAATGTGTTAAACCAAGAAGCATCTTTCGTCCAATGCTATGTCTAAGTGGTCTATAAATATGTAAATTGGGGTTAGCATTGTATTTACCTTAACAATATAGAGACTTCACCACAAGTTAGAATTCGAATTGAAGATGAGTTTGAGGTCAAACTCAAGCTACAACGATCTAGCTAAACTTTAGTTTGGCTAGTTACTATATATAAACCTAAAGTATCGTTACTGTTGCCTAAAAAAAATACCATTTTGGTACTCCAAATTTAATTAAATCACAACTTAGTCACTAGAATGTACATTTTACATTTTGATACTCCAAATTTAATTTTACTGTAAATTTTTTGAATAATTATGTTTTGGTATCTAAATTTTATGAGATTTTCATACGTAAATTTTTTAAAATTACATATTGGTGTAATGTTTAGATTTACTATATATAAATCTAAAGCATCGTTACTGTTGCCTAAAAAACTTCTATTTACTACATGTAACAAAATATGTGACATCTACATAAGCAAGTGTCAATAAATTGCTACGGTGAAAAGAGTTGACTGTTGTATTGACGATCAACTAAAAGAATTGGTCAAAACCTTTCCATCATCTACTTCCTCTTCGTTTCTTTTTTCACTCGCCTTCCATAAACCTAATTAGTTTTCGTTTCTTTTTTCACTCGCCTTCCATAACCCTAATTAGTTTTCGTTTCTTTTTTCACTCGCCTTCCATAACCCTAATTAGTATACTATTTTTATTTTTTCTAATAACAAGTATGAATGCGTCCGTACACGACTCACCAATAGTCTAGAGAATTAATAATTTAACCAGGAACCACTAACTTTTTCAGCTCAATGTCGAGTACAATTAAAAATAAATAAATATGGTTATTACTTATTAGAATGTCATCATTTTCCACAATGGGATTTGAAGGCGTGAAATTTTAAGCGAGATCCAGTTTGTATTCCTTTTGCTTCTCTCTAGAGTTTTTCTTTTTCACCCGAGCTAGAATTTTCAACAATTATATATGGAATGTTTGGCTAGGTATCTACACATATCAAATAAATAGTTTCCTATTTTTATAAAAAAGTTAATTATCATCTTAAATATATCATCATAAAAGGAATTAAGCCTCAACTATGCATATTATAGTTCGGTACCTAAACTTATTTGATCTTTACATTTATAACCTAAATTTATTTTTTAGCACATAAGTTCTCAAAATATTGTTGTAACATTACATTTTAGCCCCTAAATTTTTTGTGCATTACATTTTGCTACCTAAACTTTTGAAGTTCTAAAATAGGTATAATTTTTGTTTGTGTAATTAAAACACCCTCGAATAAATGGGTATCCATACCTAACTCATACACATTTAGATTATGAAAGTAAATATTAGTATCCTACCCAAATCCACTTCAAACTCCCAAACCCATATATATGTCCCTCATACCTACCCATAATCAATGGGTCTATTTGGGTTTAGGTAAATATAATTTATTAGCGAAAATTTTCAGAATTTTTAAAATTGGATGTTGACCGCCATATATCTTTTCTCATTCAATATCATATTCTGAAGTCAATATTACTAATAAAAAAGCTAATAAAAAAATATTTAGACTAATAATACTAACAAAACACCATAACGGGTCACATAATGCATTGCCACCTAATTAAGCTAATTTGCCAAGCTGAGCTTCAGTCAGGATTTGATTTTCATAAAATGAGTTGAGGATGATTCCGCCTATTAATCTCGTGTAGCTTGATGAGGTAACTTTTATCAAGTTGAGTCTGGATCAAGGATAAGTTTAACTGGACTCGGTTCATTAGCAACCCTACCTATTATTATTTGTCAATATAAACTTCAAGTTTGTTATAGATGATTAATTACTGATCCTAAAGTTTGAACCTCGTATTGAACTAGAGCCAATTTAAAGTTAAGTCATATGATAATTCTTTTGGCAAGTACGAGGATTTTCCCCCAAAAATACTAGACTTCCAATAAAAAAAGTTCACAATACTACACACTAAAAATTTTCAAAATACACAAATTTGGCACTTTTAGCTGGAGTGACCAACAACCTAGGTACTGGTTTATTGGAGACTAGAGCAAACGAACCTAGATCGTGACCAACTGGAGGGAACTGGCTCAAACCAACATGGATTGCGGGGGACAGGAGCAATCCACCCGGATAGCTAATGACACCAGAGATCATGCACCAAAAATCGTTGCAGTGTCCAACGATCCATACCTAATACACTTGGAATCTTCAAACGATCGTAATTTTGAATTTGGTTAGCCGATCGTAGCAATTTTTTTTTTTTGAAATTTAACATAACTTTTGGAGACATATGTTAGGTATAGATCACTAGACACTCCATCAAATTTGGGGGCTAGATCGCTAGCCTTGACAACGATTCGGGTGGATCGGTTTGGTTACCACGATCCATGTTGATTCGAGGTTGGTTCGCTTTAGTCAGCCGCGTCCTTGCTGGTTCGCTCCATACTCCACCGAATTAGTATCTAGATCGCTGGATACTCCAGCGAACCACGTCGAACTCGTGTATTTAGGAAAATTTTAATAGAAGTGGTGTGCATTGGGAATTTTTATAAGAAGGCTTGTATTTAGGGGGGGAAATCCGTAGGACCTCTAAATTTACTGTTTCATCAATTTGCTTGCCAATCCGTTCGGTTTGGTGGAAAGTAACCCCACTCTTCTTGCTGTTCTTGTTGGACTGTTTCTTTCAGTGGTGGGGTGTGACCAAATCTGCAACTGTCTCATCAATATCCTCATGTGTTCGATATGGAGAAAACCTTGATTTCAGGAAACCCATTCTTTCCCTTTCCTCTGCATCCCATCTCCATTGGACAGTCGTACCATGAAACAAGGGGCGCCTCCGTGAATAATTCACTAATTGCTCTACAAATACAATACACCCCAAATTCTACTAATATATACCGGCTCATTTTGGAACCACTGATGTCGACGCAGCAATATGAAGAAGAAGAAAAAAAGTCTGGACTCTGGAGTGGAAGCTCTTCCTTTTTCCTACTATCATCTATAGGGTCTATCATGTGAAGATGAGAGCAGAGTTTGGGTTTTGACCAAATGTGGTGTGTAGCCAAGGATGACTTGCCGACTGCTTCTCTTCTTTTCCCCCCTTATTCTTCTTGTACGTTTCTGGTATCTCAATCCAATTCATACATGCTTTTGCTGGTGGCGGTGGGCAAGTTGTCTATGGCTACATTTCTGTCTCATCTTCACAAGTTATATCCTGTGATGAACATCAACACTGTGATTCCAAGATTTTCTTTGAGTGATCTGTCACTGGCTGCAGTAAGTTCAAACTTTCATTTCTCTTGAATGGGCAACCGGCAATCTGATACCGTGTTTTGGTTTCCAATGATTTTTCCCTCCAGTGGAGTTAGAGATCAATTAGGGAATTTCCTGGAACTTAGTACAATGGTCACATAGGAACAGCTTACGTTTTCAAGGTTAAACTTGAAACAATACCCTTTTGCTGATTGAGACTTTTTGGAATTGGGTAGTTCTCTGAAAGAATCATCCAAGTCAAGAATGTTTGATCAAGCAACTCACATCATCAGACATCATCAATTGGCGAATCAGCGAATGCCAAATCGGAAATAGCTTAATTGTTTACTCCTGCGAAACCCAACACATTTCTGCTTCTCTCCATTGTACCTAATCCACTTCCGTTTATCTTTTTCCACTATTCCATCCAGTTAGAAAGGTCCATTTTTGCTCAGGTGTTTGATGAAGTACATTGCTATTTCCCATTTGCTTTTTCCTATTTAACTCTCTCCTTTTTCCTCACCGATTTCCAAGCTGTTGTAGCACTGAAAGCAGGCATTTCATAAGCCAGGAAAAGGGGCAGATGAAGCAGCCAGAGTCACCAGCTGCTGCTGAATTAGCACCAGGAGATGGACCTTCTCCTCCAAGGGAAGCGTCCCGAGCCCGGGAAGTGAAGAGAGGCATTGCAATTCTAGACCTCTTTTCCAGGTTCCTTGCTGCTGCTGGGACATTAGGGAGTGCCATAGCCATGGGGACTACCAATGAAACAGTAACAGTAGCAGCTTTCTCTCAGGTTTTCCAGTTCAACACCAACTATAAGGATCTCCCTGTGTTCACGTAAATCCCCTCTCCTTAACTTCACTTCAAACTACTTAGGGGGTTCATGAACAATTTTCTCCTTAATTTGCTATAAGACAGGTTCTTTGTGATAGCCAACTCTGTTGTGGGTGGCTACCTTGTCCTTTCATTCGCCATATCAGTCTTTCACATCATCAGAAGCTCAGCTAAAACCAGCAGGATCATCTTGGTTAGCTTAGACACGGTATGATCTTAAACCCAGAAGTTAGTTTTCTCGCAACTTGATTCCTAAAGTGTACGTGTAACTTTTCATAAGAAGCACTTTGTGATTGTGAACTCTAATAGAAACTTTGTTCACATGAACCGTGTTTTTGAAGGTTATGCTGTCGATTCTCACAGCGGGGGCTTCATCAGCAGCAGCAATGGTTTACTTGGCACACAAGGGGAATTCCAATGCTAATTGGTCTGCAATTTGCCAGCAGTTCACTAACTTCTGCCACCGCATTTCTGGATCCCTCATAGGCTCTTTTGTCGCCATAATCTTGTTCATCGTCATCATAATTGCTTCTTCTGTGGCTCTCTCTCGACGTTAACGAGTACTTTAGCCTGATCAAATCATGTTGTCTTGCTGATTTCGGAGCCAGAGAGAGAGAGAGAGAGAGAGAGAGAGCTCATATAATATATAGATGAAGCATAGTTCATAGCAGGCCTTGTTTTTACATATATGAAGTTATGAACATGAGTTTCATCAATGCTGTAAATTTACGAAATTCCACAACTTGCAACTTAGCCCATGCTTTATCTCTTCCCACCCTTCACGCCAACATCTCCACAAGTTCATCTATTGATTGTAGGGTCTTCTCATAGTACAAGTACGATTCATACACCTTTGGTGTCCTTATATAGTAATCCAACTGTCCAAAATCAAGCCCAAGCAACAGCTGTGAGCAAGCAACACATAAGAAAAGAATGAAAAACTTCAAATCCTCTGAGACATGTTTATATCAATACCTGAGACATGTTGTCCACAAGCTCATTGGCCTTGTTTACATACTCTTTCCTCTTGCCTTGAGGTACAATGGTCATGGCGATCTTCAAATCCTTGTCAAGGTAGTTCTGCTTAAGCCTGATGTAGAACAAGATAAACCTCCAAGCCATGGCATCCAACATGTCCCTGATGCTATGGAGCCCCTCAGCCGTTTGTTTAATCCTCTCCACTGATTCCTCAGGGGAGAGGTCCGGCTGGAAGAAGCGTTCGAGGAGCTGGGACCGTGTGCCCCAGCTCTGAGCCAGTGCGGGCGCAAGTGCTGGTCCATGGAACTGTGCCAGCGTTGCTACTGACGTTGTGGCCAGGAAAGTTGTCACGAACTTTCTTCTGTCTGTTGGAATGGCAGCATTGTTGTGAATAGTAGCCGGCGAGGTGCTGGATGGTTTGATTGAGTTATGGGAAGGTTTGGAGTGCAGGAGAGTGGGAGTGTTGGTGAAGGAACTGCTGCAGCTCATGGTTCTCTTTTCGTTGATGGATAATACTGTGTGATGGGAAACGGAAAGGAGAAGGAAATATTTGCGGATGAAATGGTTTGGGGGATCGGAGGGGGAAAATGGGAGGGATTGTTTGGAACTTGGAAGGGTTCTCTGTCAATTGAGTTTGAGTTGAGAGCTTAGAATTGTGCCACGTGGCTTGCATTGAAGTTATTTTATCTTCAAAAGTTTTGGACATCTTTTTGCGCCTGTTCTTTCCTCTTGAGGTGGGAATAAATTGTAACATTCTAGCCAAATCTCATATTAGTGAGATCTATGATTAAACGATAAGAAACTAACCTTAATTTGTTTGGGTAAAATGGAAGAGTTCTTTTATGAACTTCGAACTCAGAAGTATTCAATATGGAATAATGTAAAGATGGGTAACCTCTCGAGAACAATGTACATCAAAACAAAAATTATGAGAGTCTAAATTTATAACAGACAATATCTTAATCAGATAAATGTTCAACAATTTATAGAAACAGAAAATATTAATTGGGGTACAAGGAGGGGGAATGGATCAGGTCAGTAACCTTATGGTGAGTAACCATGAGTAACCCGTCCACATCAGCATGACATCAGCATCCTCTCTCTTATGGAAAGCCTTTAATTTTTCCCTTTTTAATCTTTGATGGAGGATTTCTCGCTCATTTTAAGTCGAAAATTAATTTTTTTTGCACAATTAGATCAGATTAATTGTGCTCTTCAAAATGATATCCACTTTAATATATTTTTCGAACAAAAAAAATTGAGCCATTTTTTACCAGCCTATACCATATGGTATTGACTGGTATTGAAATAAAAGCATACCTATGTTTTGAAAAACGTACCATGGTGGTATGAACAAACCAATACTGTAGGATGGTTGAATACATGATAGTAGAAGTATATTAATTGTAATTTACGACTTTTAACATTGTATACCACACAATACCACCCCGTACCAGGGTGGTATTCTGTGGTATTTTTTGATCATGTAATTTGCTCACCCAGAAATTTGTAGATCCAATAGATCATGATGAACTCGTCCCTTCTGTGCAAACGTTTTCAAAAACGAATTAAAAACGAAGAAGATACCATACAATACCACCCCGTACCAGGGTGGTATTGTATGGTATTGTGTGGTATTTTTTGGTCCTGTAATTTGTTCACCCAGAAATTTGTAGATCCAGTAGATCATGATGAACTCATCCCTGCTGTGCAAACGTTTTCAAAAACGAATTAAAAACGAAGAAGATACCATATGGTATGCAGTTGGTACCGAGAGGCCAGAATTTTGTTTTCCTAAAAAAATATTGAAAATTGATCTCATTTTGTAGAGCACGGTGAACTCGTTCCATCTGTGCAAAAAAAATTAAAATCCGAGTTAAAACGAAAAAGATATGAGTCAATTAAGAAAGCTAGTGAAAATAAAAATAGTCTTTAATTCTCCATCCTTAGATCTGGATTTTCTAAATGAAGGGTCCAGATTTGGTTATTGATGGGTGCATAACCCATGGTTATGCACCCTATCTTGAGCCACAAGGAGGAGAGCGGATCACTTCAATAATTTGTATATGCATAACCATCAGTAACCCCCTACCATTTCTGGAAGTCAACTAACTTTTTTTATTTAACTTTAATGAATTATATCTCTTTCGTTTTAAGTCGTAGTTTATTTATAATTTTGCATAGAAAAATCCAATTAATTGTGCTCTTCAAAATGATATCAACTTTAATATATTTTAGAACAAAAACAATGAGTGTGGATGCATTATTTCTTATTTTGGATAAGTGTATTTCAAATGTAGGGGTTGTTTGGATGTATTATTTCTATGAGAAATCTGTACCCAAGTAACTCAAAATGAGTTATTTGAGCTGAAATAATGTGTTTGGGTCCATAATGTGGGGATGGGTTATTTCTTTTTTTTATTGAGGGGGAGGCATTAAGCCAAAAGAAACATACAACGTCTCTAGTAACAGGTTGTAGGGCGGAACCGACTTAGCCTCCTACAACCAGACCATCATCAATACTCAAAACAAGGACTACAACAGTCAAAAGCAAACAGAGGAAACAAACGACTAATGAATAACCAGCCTTGGGAAGCTTATCCCTATGATGTCTTCCCTAATGATCCTTTGAAGTTCTGTGGGTGGGTCAATTAACTCATACATATCGAAGGGATAGACGAGAATGTGCTTCGAGAGCCAATCCGCAACTTTATTTCCCTCTGTGTGTGTATGAATTAATCTAACCATCCAATCTTACGCCATTAGTCTGCGAATTGCCTCCAAAAGGGCAGAATGGGGATGAACATGATTCTCTCTCTTATTGACCAGCTCTACTGCTAGTTTAGAGTCTATCTCCACAATGAGGAACTGGGTTCCTTGGTCTCACGCATACTTCAGTCCATGATAAATTCCCCACAGTACAACAAGAATCGTTGTTCCTGATCCTATCTTGCAGCAGAAACCCCCTCTTCAATCACCATAACTATCCCTGAGAGCACCACTCGCAGTTTCTAGTCATGTACTTCCCTGAGTCGCACCATCTGTATTCATCTTTAACCAACCTGAGGGTTGAGGAGACCAACCTATCAGCTGCTTTGTTTTCTGAGGTGCCATCATCATGTCCAAGGTCAAAGTTGATGCTTCCCATGTCTTTCTCCACTCCCTTGCTTTGGAGAGCACCTAATTAACTCTGGTGGGATTAGTGAGGACTTTACCTTGGAACAAATGCTCATTTCTTGTCATTCATAGGTACCACGCAACAAAGGAAAAGAAACTTGCCCATTCTTCTATCCAAGCTCCGGTCGACGTGTCCTCCAGGTTGTTTTGCATCCACTCTTTATGAGTAGCAAGGAAAAAATGATGGTGAAGCTGCATTGGCAAGACTTTCTCCCAAGTCATCTTGGTTGCCGGGCAATCCCGAAGACAGTGGATGTTTGTTTTTATCTCGTGTTGGCACATTGGGCTCTTGTCATTCAGAGTTAAGTGTCTAAACTTCCTAAAGCTGTTCGTCGAGAGTCTTTCCTTCAAAGTCAGCCATACGAACCATTGAACACACTCCAAGCATTGAAGCTTCCAAATCCGATGCCAAAAGGAGGGAGTGAGGGTACTTTGTTGAGGAGCAATGACCTGAAAGGGTGACCTTGTGTTGAATCTTCCGTTAGTAGAGGGAGTCCAGAAAATTTGATCCTCCTTTCTAGAAATTGGGTCAATCAGAACAACTCTAATTTTGTTATTGATCTCTGGCAGCATCAGCTCTTCGAACTCCTCCATCTTCAACCCTAGGCTAGGATCCCAGAAGTTAGTCACCCTCTTGTTCTGTAGGTTGATAGGTATCTCGCCCATACTCCGATTGCAAAGCAGTTCCTGCAAAATCCACGAGTCATACTAGAACTTAGTCTTCCTACCATTTTTAATATTATGGCCTGCACATTTGCGTAGTAAAGGAGACGTTTGGGCAAAACTACGCCAGGCTGTAGAACATCCCTGTTTCTTGGAGAGGACGTTAAGGTCATCCTTATTATCTCCATATTTGCTACACAATATCGTGGCCCAAAGAGCTTGTCATTCGTCACCAGCTTCCACGCTCACTTAGCCAACATAGCTTGATTGGATAATCTTATTGGTCGGATTCTCATTCCTCCAAGCCTGCGAGGAAGGGTTAATTGATCCAAAGCCACCGGATGGAACCTCAATTTTCCTTCCTCCTCGCCCCACACGAACTGGCTACTACACCAGTCAAGCAAATTGCACATGCTAGCAGGGTGAATCTCTGGAAACATGGGTAAGGTAGTTACAGAAGCAACAACAGATTTTACCAAGGTAATTCGAGCTGCCACCGAAAGATGCTTGGATTTACAGGATGCTAGATTATGTTGAACCCTGAGGAGGAGCTCTTTGTATCTACTTTTAGTAATTCTTCCATTGATAGCATGTAGGCCGAGGTATTTCCCCAAGTCTGCAGTCAGGCTAATTCCGACTCTTTGACTGAGCCGTTGAGCCTAGTCTCGGGATATATTTGTGGAGACAAACATCGCTAATTTATTGAAATTAACCTTCTGTCTAGAGCTGATGCAGAATTCATCCAGACAAGTCTTGATGATCTCTATCTGTCTACTCTCCGACTCTGCAAAAAAAAAAAAAAAAAATCAAGTCGTCAGCGAAAAATAGGTGTGAAATCTTTGGTCCATCTCGCGAAAGGGAGATTGGTTTCCAAAGGTTCTCGCTCACAACCTGTTGA